GAAAAGCTTAGTCGGCCATAAGTACAGACCAGTAGACAAGCCTTATACATGAGTTTGTTTAGACAAGCAAGACAAACAGCCGTGCAACAACATGTACAATTTGTTGTATATATAACGGTTGTCACGAGTTGCTGAATTAGCAGTCAGGATAATCAGCTTTTTTGAATGATTTTGCTGTTGATCTTTCTTGTTTGAAACTTTAAAAATGGACTCGATTATTTTATTAGTGATGTTATATTTTCTGTATTATATTTTTAAAATAATTTAAAATTTATAAATTAATTATTTAACAGTATATTGAGAAATACCAGCATGTATGTTAACTCCAGCTTGGTAAATTTTTATTGTACATTACGATGTAATGCTCGCGTATTCGTGTAATTACTTAAATAACTCTATTCATTACACGGTGAAGATACTTATAGGAGAAAGGAGTGGGCAAAATTAATTACCCAAGAAATCAACTATTTTGTGTTCTGTGTATTGTATATGCTTCTACTAATCGGCAATTAAGGTCCTGTATACCGACCCTGCTTTGCAAGACAGACGGCATGGTGGACATCCAGATCCTTTCATGGTGTTCAACGGCACTGACTGCGGAATCTCAGTCACTTGTGTGAAGTACTGTGGGCGTGATTATCGATGGCGCGCCATTACTGCTCGAGATTTGTATCAGGACACGCGGACCGTAGCGAATAGAGGTGCCTGGCTGGTTGTTCCTTGTCTCGATACGTTGCCTCAATCGTCGTTCTCCTCTCACGTAACTCATTGATTCCTGCCTTTAACCTTAAGTTACAGGAGATGCAATAATAGAAAGATTAGTATGTGTGTCATTATTCATAAGTGTCTAACCTTGGTTAATTTACCCAATATGGGACTATAAATAAAGTACAAGTGGCTACAACTAATAGCAAACTAGAGCACTCATCAAATTTATATCTACGCAAGAGTCTGGCTGCCTCATCCATTAGACTTGTAAAAACAGTAGAAACTAGTATCCATATATCTTGTATATATATAATCTATATATATTAGTATTATCGATACAGTATGGCCTTAAAGTGTGCTTGATCGCGGAGACTTGCCTCAGAGTAAAGTTTATTAAGCTATGCTCACCAGGCGTTTGCTGTCTGCCGACTCTCCTTCACCGCCCCGGTAACCGCATCACTTCAAACCTTGATACGGAACGGCGTCAATGTTCACCGATTGTGGGGTCACTTTAAATGCTTCGTCACTCTTCAGCATCGATACATCCACAGCTAACCTCGCATTGACCAAGGCTGAGAGAGCGCGCGTCTTGCCGGACGCACGCATCCGCCGTCAACAGACACGAAGGTGCTATATGTATGCAGATCCGTGTCTTGCAGGCTCGGTCGGTCACTGTGTTCTTGCCGACTCTGTTTGACCAAGGTAGACCCGTACGCGTGGAGACAGACCCTTGTTTCCCCGTACACTTGATCCACGAGTCTGGCAGTTTTGCTGCTGCGTGTTCCGCGGACGTCTTGCGGCTGAAGATGACGCTCTGGAAGTGGTTAGTCGTCGCCGAAGACGTCGTCGGTGTCGATGCGGACTGTGGCGGCATGCGGCCGCAGTCGGCGATGCGCGACCTTCCGCGAGGGTACGTGCTCGGTCACGCGCGAGCGTGCCGCGGCCGCTCTGAACTCGTGCCGGCAGCGAGACGATAGATCGCATTAAAACGGTCATAAGAGACCTGAGTAAGACTTCGTTTTAATGTAACTGGAATGCTCACCCATGGTGCATCCAACGGCGACACACACGTTTGTTTTCGACGCGAATCTGAGAAACGGCCGGCGGCGGGTCGCTCGCGATCCTGCCGCCGCATCGCGGACCTCGTCCGCTCAATCGACACGCTGAAGTTCCTTTCAGGCCTCGTCCACACTACCCTTCCAGATCTTCATCTTTTATCGGACTGGAAGGCAAGACGGTATCAACTTGCCTGGGCTTGGGGAAGATCGAACGTCTCAAGCATGAAGCTAGCAGGAGCGGTGTATGCCCTCCGCACTCCTGTATTCGCGCGATAAAATAAAGGTGTACGGGGATGCAGGCGCTCTGATCTCCTAAGCTAAGTTATCGGGGTCATAATCTGAATCACACATAAACTCTGGTCAACACAGCAGCTCACGGCAAAGAGACGAGTGACCGCCGCGCCTGTTGACTGCTTGCCCACAAAACAATGGCTCGTGATCTGTTGAATCAGGACTCGCGAATCGTGCGTCCGGAAGACGCGCGCTCTCTTCATGCTTTGGTCGATAAACTCGTCCAGAGCCTGGTTAGCTGTGGAGCCCTGCCGTTTTGATTCGTATGCTTCGCCCTTACCTTTGAGAGTGACGAAGCAGCGTTTACACGTGGACTCGACAAGAGAGGTGAACCACTGTCGCAGCTCGCCGGTGTACCGTATCAGAGGGTTTGGGTGGGAACACAATAGTGGAGATGCGACGTTACGGGAGCGGGGCGGTTTGGGTGAGCAGAGCCGCCTCTGGCAGACAGCAAACGTCGTGAGTGTACTAGGAACTAGCTAATACTTTAACTCTGCGCGCTAATGTGCAAGACGTGTAGTAATCCTCTACGCAAATGTTTCAGTGGAACATTGGCGCTATGACTAGTGTAATTATATATATCAATTATATGGAGTGTGAAGTGATTATGTTACCAGAAGGTAGCAGTACTCTTCTTCAAGTCTTAAAATTGAGAGTGATTCTTTGTTATGTGCCCTGTCTTTTTTAGTCCATGGAATTTACCATAGGTTAGACACTTACTGATAATTTGCAAAACATCTAATACTTTCGATTATTGCAGCTCCTGTAAATTTAAGGAAAGGCAATCATTGTTACGGAACGATCGATGCGGACAGACAAGGCAACACACCAGCCAGGCACTCTATTGGCGGTACGGTCGTGTTCTACAATCGACAGAAAGCCTTCGGCCATCGATTAATTCACCCCAGACTCTCAACCAGCCTACTGAATTCCGCGAGTCCTGCAACACCATGAAAGGATCTTGCGATGTTTCCACCGATCGTTCCTGTCTTGCAAACGGGTCTGTATACAACCTTTTATTGTGAACCTGAACTGATGTCAAGTATGTAAACTCACAGAGAAACGTCCCGTCATAAGTAGTTTCACGTGTAATGAATGAAGCTGATTTAGTTAATTTACACGAATGATACTCAATTCAGTAATATCTGCAAAAACCAACTAGTTAACAGTCCACTGCTGGTATTCTCTCAACCTATTAAACATAATAAAATAAACAATAAATAAAAACTTCTGAAACCTACTATAAAACTATATAAATAATCTAACAACGTATTTAAAAGGATACTGTTGCTATCAGCCCACCGTGATGAACCTTCCCTTATTATATACAAAATTTTGTTTGCATCGGCTGTTTTGTCTTGCTTGTCTAACTCTGATGCTTGTTTGACTTGGCCTGCGACTGCTTTCATAGCCCTGTTCTCCTTGTGCTGCCAGTGAAGCCCCTATATGTGATAGCAGTTACAGGACAAGTGAGGTTAAACATGTCGACGCCGAGTTCGCTGATGCCATTGATAACTGCTGGGAAAACACCAATCCAGATGCGAGCAACAGATCTGCCGTGGAACATACAACTAGCTAAATCTCGCAGACAGGTACATACCGGAGATGGGAAACTGCCGTTGGAAGTCAAACTATGATTGTCATGCTGCCCTCAGACAGATCAGTGGAAACCATCGTCAGAGAACGTCGTTCTTGATCAAGGTGTCACAACAGATGAGAACACTTGGCTATGTGCTTTGCACGTCCTGGTGAGGTGTAGGGAGATGATTACCATCATCACAAGCATATTACTTGCCGCTGTCCATCAGCAGAGCGCTGCCAACAGCCTCGCTGCTGCCATGACGTGCGCCGGACCAGCGTTACAGGGGAGCAGGGTCCTGTCACCACGCGTACGGGTCTACCCTGGTCAACACAGAAGAGTCAGCGAAGCAACGAGCTGACCGCCGGCCTGCCGACGGGCCTGCCCAACATACTTCCTGTCTGTCGATGGGATCGGATCGTGCGTCCGTTCTACCTGTGCTCTTATTCTCAGGCGGGTGTAGAATATCTTCCTATAGTCAACGTCGTGCTCGCTCCACGCCTACACACAGTACACGTCTAACAGAGTGCACCATTAACCACACGGTGAACCATCAGCTGGAATTCCGCTATCAGAAGGTTTTGAAGTTGGATGCGGTTACCGGGGCCGGTGAGGAGAGTCTGGGCAGACAGCAACCCTGCCTGTGACAATATCTTGAGTAAAACTTTACTTTAGGTAGCTGCGTACAAAACGGGAACGCCCTTACACAACCAGATAAACAGATAAAAGTTGAGATATGTATCACGGAGATCAACACAGGAGCCGTATCCGATATTATATTCAATGTGGCCAAATCTGTCTGCTCCTGCACGCATGCGTGAACATATAATTCTATACACTGCATTAATGCTCTGTTTCTTACTCCATCTCTTCGACATCACTATATTATGTTCGTGCTATTCATTTGTAATCACAAACGAATTATGTTGTTATACAATATAATCCATGGTGATTAATTTAAATCCTACCTAATTTAATCTTAACCTTTAATAAGTAAACTTTGTTTCAAATTTTTATAGGTGAGACAATTTACATCCATAATGCTGAGCAATCTTAGACCAGATAACGTGAATGCATGAATACGTGAATGCATGAATGCGTGAATTCGTGTGAATGCTTGCAATGCGGGTGGAGGTGTCGTGTGAATGCGCGAATGCGTGAATGAATGGACAAGAATTTAGCTAAGCTAGAACAAGAGAGGAGTCAACACGTAAAATTATTACGTTATACACGTCCATTAATTTCAGCTTTTCATCATTTCTACGTAACACTATCCAACATACCACCGTGCAGGCAGTGTCTGTAACGACCCCACCCAAATTCTAAAACATTCTAGGGTTAGGTTGACATCGCTGGGGTGTTACCTTGCGCGAGCTACAGACGTCCGGCCTGCAACCGAATCCGCCGACGACGAGTCGTATGTAGCGGACGATGGTGATCTCGGCTGGAGTGACCGCCGGTCCCTGCAGGTCCGTGGTGTTGTACTGGACCTGGTAGCGGATGATGGTGGCCGGCAGGTTTCCTGTCTGCACGCCCACGTACTGTACGCCATTGATTACGATGCTCTTGTCTGAAACGGGTTGGGAATTTTGCAATGATCATGGATGTATGTACATGCATTTGCTTAGCTGACCACTCCGTTACTAAAGAAATAAACTGATACTTGGTCTCGGTAAGGGTCAGTATCAAATGATTGCACAATCTATATGTCACAAAAGCTGCGAAAGCCATTTAAAACCACTGCAGCATTTAGCAACCTACAATTAATCCCCTTGATAATACCACCTAGTTAATGTCACCTCCACACGTACTGAACACAGGTAACCACTGTACAGGGAATATATTACTTTATCAGACTGATAGTCTGAGAAAGCACAAAAACAATGCCAGTTTGGTACATGGGCGATGTCACTTTGACACACTGGCAATGTCACCTCGGCACACTAGCAACGTCACCTCGGCACACTGGCAATGTCACCTCGGCACACTGGCAATGTCACCTCGGCACACTGGCAATGTCACCTCGGCACACTGGCTACGTGCATGCTGGCTATGTCACCTTCGTGAATATACGTGTCTATGGCCCGTGCTGACGACTGACTGTCTGAAGACTGATTGAGCACAATAAAAACGCCACCTCACCCCACAATCGCCGCGTGAGCCGCTGCGCCGTTCCGAATTATAGTGTTTTTATTGAGTGCTCGTTCTCACCTGGATTCGCTTGGTTCCACGCGCGCACGATAGCCTCCTGCACCTTCCTGCGGTCGTGCGGGCTCCGGTTCAGTGACAGGCCGACGCTGACCGAGTGCGGCAGCGTCACCTCGTGCACGCCATCGTCGTTCCGCAGCAGCTGCACCGCGCGGGTCCACACTGAATCGCGCACCGTGTTCTGGTGCAGGAACTGCCCGTTCACCGACAGGAAGTAGACCGCGTCGACGGCGTCGCGTCCCGCAGGAATCCGCAGCCCTTCCGGCTCGAGGAACACGCGGACGTTCTGAGTGCGGAACACCGCCTGCCAGACGCCGACGAGGCGTTCCGCGAGTTCCTCGGGCGTCGCAAACTCTCCCTCGACGACGCTGTTGAAGTAGTACTCGGGCGAGTAGACGAGACCCATGAACACGCTCGTGTAGCCGGCGTCGGCGAGCGCGCGCGACACCGTGCCGTGCGTCGGCTCCCGCAGCGTCGCCATGACGTCGTAGCGTGCGGGCAGCGCGATCGAGTAGCGCACGGCGGCGACGGCGCGGCCCTCCTTCGAGCGGTAGCCCGTCTCGACGTCGGTGACGCGGAGGTTCCAGGGCAGCAGGCGGAGCGTGGCGCGGTTGTCGTTCAGCCAGATGTCGCGCAGCGCCAGCTGCAGACGCTCGCGGTCGACGACGAGGGAGCTGTTACGCTCGACGTAAATGACAAGCATCTGTGTGGGAGAGAGAAGATATATAAGCAGGGGAGCGAGAGAAGATATATAAGCGGGAGATAGAGAGAAGTGCTGCTATTACTCCTATTATCAAATATAAAATTTTAATATATGAATATTTCTACGTTCGTGCTATCACCACTGCGTGCTAGGTGCCCGACCGCCTGACGGCAGCACTGACAGCATCACTGTCCGCAGATAGCAACTGACGACAGCTCTGTCCCCAGATAGCGACTGACAGCACTGTCTACAGCTCTGTCCCCAGATAGCGACTGATGGCAGCTCTGTCCCCAGATAGCGACTGATGGCAGCTCTGTCCCCAGATAGCGACTGATGGCAGCTCTGTCCGCAGATAGCGACTGATGGCAGCTCTG